CTCTACTTATTGATACATACAACTTCTCCCACTCTTTCTCTCCCCTTTATCTCTTTCTCTCTCTCTCTAATTAAATTGAATTTTTTTTCTACTGCTTTTTTTTCAGTTCTTCTGATTGTATTATCCCTCCTTCTCCGGTTCTATATACTTTTTTTATCTACTTTTTTCTGTTTAGAAAAAAAAAAAAAAAACAACAACAACAAAAATAAAAGGTTGAAATTACAAGCTTATTTGTTTCGCAACTAATAAATGGTTGTTGATTATTTTAGAAATGATGTCCTTCATCAAAGACGGATCATCGAGGTCGAAAATCGTCAACAATTCCAACGGTTGCGGCGTTGCCGTCGCAAAATGGCGGGAGCGGCCTTGGTAGCCTGGCTTCTTCTATATCTTTCCTCTGGGCCAGTCGTTTTGGCAACACTGGAAGGTCGTTAGCGATCTATTTATAGTCGGTCGCCATTGCTGCTGTTACTATGCCGAGCGAAGCGTATACTTGGTTCAGGGGTGGTGAGTGTATGCGGGGGAGGAGGGCAGCGAGGAATTACTGAAAGAACAATATGGCGCTCAACCGGATGTGCCTTCTTCCAATCTATCCATTCTCTCTTTCTCTCTCTCTTTCTAGTACACCTCTCACCGCCATTCTCTGCCTTCTCTCGCGCTTTCGCTCTCCTCCCTCTATTTGTCTTTTTCTCTCTTTTCTTCACTATCTCTGTTCCTCTCTTCACAATCTCTTCCTCCGCTGCGGCCACCTCCACCTCACCAACTTCCCATCCCTCCTTGTCACCCTCCGTCACTCTTTCTCTTTTTCTCTCACTACACTATCATAACGACTAAACGATATTTATTTCCTTTTGCAAAAATATATGCTATGATGGAAGCAAATATTACGTAACTATGCAATCGTCCTGGCAATGTGACTGGCCGCTTATATAAATTTCGCAATAGAACGTTAACAAGGCGTGTCTCTTTATTCTTACTAGAAACTACACTATTATCTATGTATTTCTACTACCCGGTGGTCTGAGCAGATACGCTCGTTTCTACTGCGCGTTTCGTTTTTCTTACGAAAAAAGAAAAAAAAAACGAAGAAAGAAAATAATGAAACAAATAATTCAAAATAATAGATAAAAAAAAAAATTAAGAAAATAAATAGAATGATAAAGAAAGGACGAGGAGTTGAAGAAAAGAATTCCATTATAAATTTTACCGACGGGAAACAGGTGAGCTTTCAGGAAAAACATTTTTTATACGCTTAGCAAAATTGCATATGGCGGCGTTCAGTCGTCACAGCTGACGAGAATCGTGAGGTATTACACGCTACATACGATGCGTACAACCTATATACATCATACGTATACATATATATATATATAAATTTATATATCATATTATATATACATATATGCATATAAATATATATACATACAGCGCGCAGAGAGAGGCACGCATGCGAGTTGCATCGAATCGGGACGGCTTCGGGACAGTTCGGATAATTCCGAGAAACTGCCTCTTTGTTACATCACTACTCGGATTCTTATATAGTACATAGGAGCGATACATTATGTACTGCGCCAGTACATATTTCCGTGGCGGCTCTCAGAGCGCATATATACATACCACCCCGTATATATTTGGAGCGGTATATACATAGGTATATACAAGCCCATATATACCTGCGCACTAGTGACAAGGGAATGGTCGCTCGAGCTGGTAAGCGCTACCACACACCACACTAGTACTATACCACTGTTACTACTACAAGCATTACTACCCTCTCTTCCATTCCACTACCCCCTCCAGCTTGCCACCATGACTATACACATTCCACGTTACACGATGCGCGCATTTGTGGATCAACTGTAGAAGGAGAAACATGGGCATAAAGTCGCTGCGCGTATACATCTATTTAGTTTCCCTTAACTTGAGCGTATCTTGAAATAAAAAAGAGGAAAAAGGAAAAAAAAATTAATTAAAAAAAAAAAAAAAAACATTATTGTGATACAAACATATATACGTAGAAAAAATATATATACTCTGCGAATGATATTACTATGAGTTATTATTATTATTATTATTAGTATTATTATATTATGACACATCGTAAATCACATTATCAATATTATAAGGATATGCGAGATGGAAAGCATTTCTCGACCATCCACCAGTGCATTTTTTCAACTTTTAATTTTTCTGCAGTATGAGAGAGAGAAAAAAAGAAAAAAAAA